AATCAATCGTTCTTCCAAACCCACCATATTTTGTATTTTTACTTGGAGCACCTCAGGGTGGAATAAACGGCTGTTAAACGGCTGTTTATGCGTCAAAACGCACTTTTTGGCAACTTCAGGATTTTTGTTTTACTGCAAGGTGTTTAATTCAGCGGTTTAAAATATTTTTATAGGTCATATACCTAGAGGGCAACCAGTAAACAGTTATATTAGGTCCCGGGAGCAATTATATATTTTTTAAATAAAATAACAAAAATGTTTATTTTTGAATAAAATTATGCATTTTTTTAATATATTTAAATTAAACAAAACTGCACAAACTCAACCACATTGTAAGCCGACAACCGTGCAAATTTAAGAAAAAAATATTGTTGGGTATTTCATAAAAAAGCTGATTTTTCGTAAACTATTGAGTGATGCCTAGTTTCAGGCTGTTTTCAAAAATTAAAATCGCGCTCATGTCATCACAATTTTTTTTTTTCGTCAAAACTATTTTAGGGTATGGCTACGGACATTGTGGCAGAAGCCCATGAATTTTTTTTTAGAAATCGGAGGTAGTCGAGCGCATCGTCTGGGACGTTTCACATGGAATGATTCACTGATAGCAAATGCTATCAGTGAATCAGCCCGTGCTCTTAGGTCGCGAGCACACGCCTCGCGCGGAAGATCGTGAATTGATTGGCCGCAGAAAATAAAGGTCCCTTAACTAAAGGTACCTTTACAGTCGTGTGAATGGGGTATTACACCGTGTCCACCACTGAACCAAGCTCGTGCCTGGCAAGCTCGTGCCCGGGCAGATCGCACAGGCGCCATAATAAAAGACTAGCCCTAGCTGACCTCCCGCTGTGTGAACATTCTTCTCGCTCTGATACACTTTGTAGGCGACATTTCTATAACATTTAATAGCGGCAATCGTAAAACATGTTTTTGAACGCAATTGCAAACGCACTACGGCCCTTCTTTTAGAAATACCGAAAATCGGAGTCCGGTGTGATGTCGCCTCCTGGATTTGTGTACTCCCTCGGAAAAGTTGCCGGCGCTCGAGCAGAAGAGGATGATCGGTGAGTCGGGGAACCGGGCGAAGAAACCGGTTTTTCCCGGTCCGCCGGCGCCCTTCTCTGCCGCTCCTCGCTTCGGGCCGCGGTGGTTTGGAGCGGAGGTGCGAAAGAAAGTCGGCTCTCAGGATGCCGTAAAATTTGAAGTCTCTGCATTGGCGCGGATCACGCGGGATCCAACTTCAAATTCGGCATTTGGAAGTTGTTTGTGTTTTACTTCACAAATACTGAATTCCCAAGTTTCGAATTTTGAGTGTATTGTCCCGGCATCATTTTCAACTGTTTCCGACAATAAAAAAAAAATAATATGATTTTGATGTGTCAGTGGCCCTTTGAACGCGAATTTCCGTCGCTCGCTGCGAGGTGGCGATGTCCTCCCAGTCATAATAGAGCGCCGAACCGTCAGCGTCGCAGGTAGAGATGCTGGTACAGGACAGACAGCGGGCCACGAACCCGGCCCAGCCAGAGGGCCGGGCTCGGGCTTCATGGCTAAATTCATGAAGCGCCCGGGCCGGGTTCCGGCTTTACATTCAAGTCTACAAGGCGGGCCACAGCGGGCCAAGCCGGCCATTAATTTTTTTTTTAGCAACATGTTCTTTGGTAGCGTGGCTGGGAGTTTGGAAGAGGAATCACACTGGGTGGGACAAACAGATGCTGAAGCATGTGTGTGCACATATATGTTTTTGTAGGGTTCGGTGTGTGTGCAGAGAATGCTCTTCCAGAGGACTAGCGGCGCGGCGTTCCTTTTCGTCCCCGGCGACGTCGCCATCACACGATCGCTTCTCCTCATTAACACGCACACAGACGCGCCTACACAATGCGCACCCTCGCCGGCGTAAACCATCTGTGCGTACGAGTGCTTGCATCCCCAATATGGGTGAAAAGGTTCCCCTCAGGGTGCGTTTCTTGCAGACCTCCGCAAAAGACGGCGATATTGTTTTATCATTTTCTTTTTCGTCTTTACGCAGCGAGTGTGGGCAATTGAGAACTTTGTCCGTCTTTTGTCCAAACCCGTCGGGACGTTTCCATTCCTCTTCAACTGTGACTCATATGGTTTTGTTTACTGCTGCTTGACATTTTTGTTTTTCCGTCGTTTCCGCGCTGGTTTGGTGGCAGAAAAGGACGATCGGGATGAATTTTTCCTAAGAGGCTGCCTAGGCCTGCAGATTAATTCAAATAATAATAGCAGGGTGTGTTCAGATAAGGACGGTCATGGTGGTGTCATGGCTATTTTTTGTTTTCAGTCATATTTTTATATGAGGTAGCTAAACCTGTCCACACAACGGGACAGACCTTACTTTTGCAAGATAGTTCTTTGTATTCGTGACAAAAATCGCATTTGAGAGAAGGTCGAAAAAACGATTTTCCCAACTGCGCGACGGCGCAAATTTGAAGGTTGGAGGAATAAAGGGTACAGCTTTCTACACAGTCAACTTTTTTAAGTTTAATGCACGCATACTTTACTGTCAGAATTAGTAAATGTAAACTTAAGTGAGCATATATTTCAAGCGAAATAAAATGCCAAACTTGGCTTCTGAAGCAAATCTTACATAATGTGTCAATTTTCGGCGAATATTTAAGTCCCTTTAAATTTATATTCTAAAGCTGAAGCTTTTTGTGTCAAGTTTTTATTGCTTTGTAAATTTTTAGCAAATGATTTAGCGTTTTACTGTTGAAAGTGCTTTCTGCATTGCGCCCCGAAATTTCATAAAAATTTTTGCGATTTTCTTGCGGCAATTAAAAAAAATAATCATCCTCGATTTTATTTAAATTTTACCTTATGGGCCCTCGATGACCGGTAATTACAAATCTACAAAGCGCGCTATTTATTTTTATGCATTTTTTTTCTTCCTTCTCACCCGCCCACTTATTTTTATTTGTGACGTAATCGACTAGGAATTGTACAAGCTTTGTAAGCGACATTTCTATAATATTTAATAACAGCATTCGCAAAACGTGTCTTTTTATCGCAATTGCGAACACACTGCGGTCCTTCTTTTTTAAATACCGAAAATCAGAGTGCGGAGTGATGTCGCCTCCTGGCTTTTTTCTCCTCCCTCGGAAAATCATGGCGCCCCGCGGCGCTCGGCACATGCAGCACTGAGGATGATCGGGGAGTCGGGGAACCGGACGAAGTTCTCTTCTTTTATGTGCCCGACGACCTCTCAGACTGCGAAAAGGAAATCGTCAGACGGTCAAAATAACTGGGTTTGGTGCCTGTGCACCGTAGTTTCGGTTGTAACTCCGTCAAGGCCAGTCTTTCACGCAGAACGGGTGCGACGTGGCCCCTCATGTCGCTCACAGAAGTCTACTGCGGGTTCTCTTGGACCTAACACCGCTTCAAAGAAGTTGAGACCGCTGAAAGGGCACTGAAAAAACTTCAAACTCGAAAGTGAAGCGTTGTTTGCTCACAGTGATAAGCGTCAATGTCCGTTCACACTCTTGCAACCGAGTACGACCGAGAGAGACCAGACCGGTTTTTAAGCCTCTTGCGACCTCTTAGGACCGGATGCGCTGCAGCGGAGCTGGTCCTAAGACGTCGCAAGAGGCTTTTTGATGCCCAGCGTTGCTCAGGAGCAACAACTCAAACACGATTTTTTTTCTCCCCCCAAAACGCGCAAATCTATGCAATTAGCGCCATCTGCCGTAAGGCTGAGGCGACCCGAGACTCTAGAAATAAAAAACAGAGGGCGGCACTTGTCCGCTTTCACTTATCTGCTACACGTGTGTGAACCGGCGAGCGACCTCGTCCCGCCACTGTACCAGGTGAGTGAACTTCGATGAAAACAACTGCAGGATGTGATAATGCAACAAATCCTTGATTGAAATCTCGTACTGAATGACTAAAAGAGACGTATGTGCAGTGAAAATGAATTTACATTTTGTGAGAACTCAGTACCAGCCTGACAACCGTGATGTTGCCCAGGAGCAACATCGGGCATATGTGGGTAGCATTGGTATTGGTAACGAAAAATCGGTGGCGTATCTGTTAGGGGTTACCCGCGGCTAAAATCTTCAAATATGAATGTCATTTATGGTAATTGATTTTTGCACAAAGAAATAAAAAAATATATAAATGTTTGTCTCTAGATGGAAAGATCCAGACCACGTAGACAACTGACGGATGAGGAGATCCAAGAAATAATTTTCCTTCCGGATGGAGATATATCGGATATCGATTTCGACAGCGACCCTGACGACCTTGAGTATGATCCAAGGCAAGATCGCAGGTTTCTTGAAACCTGCCCCCTTGAAATTGTGACCAACCTTCGCGACCTCGAGGAGCCACAAGTTGAGAGCAACGACGTGCCGAGCGGATCTTCTGAAATGTCGGCGCGTCCTTCTACTTCTGGAAAGAAGAATACGAGGGAAGCCAGCCTTGGCGACCACAAGGCACCACATGTCAAAAGCAACTATACATCAAGCGGTCGACCGGAGAGCTACCGCACAAACCTTCCGCTAATTCAAGTAACGAGAAGAAAACTGAACAAAAAAAGTCTTCAAGGATTTGGAAAAAGAAGGACCTGGCTATTGAGGATTGCAGCTGGAAAGCCAAACTGTCAGAACCGCCCGAAGATGTGCTCAGTCCATTTGAGTACTTTTCTACGTTTTTCGACAATGAAATGATAGACGCGCTTCGCTATCAAACAAATCTGTATTCGACACAAAGAAATGGCAACTGCATCAGTGTGACATATGAAGAGATGCGAAAGTATCTGTCAATCTTGGTCATCTCGGGAATAGTCCGCATGCCACATTTCCGGATGTTCTGTCAGTCTGGAACGCGTTTTGCGCCGGTAGCGGATTTGATGTCGAGGAACCGATTCGAGGCTATTCATCAGTGCCTCCACATGAATGACAACCTCCAGGCGCTGCCGCGGGGCACAGACGGTTCCGACCGCCTTTTCAAAGTGCGCCCGCTACTCGATGAGGTGAGAAAAAAACATGAGCAAGGTGGCCCCAGATGAACGACAAAGTATTGATGAGCAGATCATCCCCTTCAAGGGGAGATCGCACCTCAAGCAATATCTCGAGTCAAAACCCCACAAGTGGGGATACAAAGTATTCACGAGAGCGAGTTCTTCTGGAATCATGCACGACTTCATAATCTACGAAGGAAAAGGAACGGCTTCGGATAATGGGTTCGGCATCTCGGGGGATATTGTCATCGATCTGGTGAAAACTTTGCCACAACACGTAAACCACAAGTTGTTTTTTCGCCTCGTCGATGAACTGAAGACTAAAGGGTTCCATTGCATAGGGACCGTGAGAGCAGACCGAACAGAAAAATGTCCTGTTTCTTCTGACGCCGCCCTGAAAGCGCAGGGAAGAGGCTCCGTGGACTTCCGAATGGATGAAAAAACGGAGGTCGAAGTGATAAAGTGGGTTGACAACAATTGCGTGACACTAGTGTCCAGTTATGCTGGAGTCCACCCAACTGACACGTGCAAGCGGTGGAACAGCAAAGACAAATGCATGGTTGACGTTTTACGCCCTCTTGCTGTCAAGGAGTATAACACTTTTATGGGCGGCGTCGACTTGGCAGACATGCTCATTGAGCTGTACCGCACAGATCACAAATCAAAAAAGTGGTACATACGCATATTCTATTGGATCATTGACGTGTCTATTGTAAATGGTTGGCTCCTGTACAAGCGACACTGCACGCAACTCTGCATAAAAAGAAGGCTCTCTCTGCTCGCTTTCCGTGCTCAAATCGCACAAGCCCTGGGACACGTGAAGGCCAAGCATTTTAAGAGAAGGTCAGACACAGTGGAAAATGAAAATGCACTTCCAAGCAAGATCGCTCGGCCACTAAAGCCAAGACCGACAGATGATGTGAGATATGATGGAACGCACCACTGGCCTCAGTACACTGAAAAGAAGAGCAGGTGCAAATACTGCAAAACTGGTTACACGTTCCTGTACTGTGCAAAATGCGAGACGCACCTGTGCCTTCTCCCAAGTCGCAACTGTTTTCACTCATTTCACGTGAAGTAGTGCCACAGATGCCCAACGTTGCTCAGGAGCAACATCTCATTATGTGTTCACAAATAAAGTTAATTTTTTTCTGAGACCATTTTTTTGTTTTTTTGTCTGTTCTAAATCTGTACCAAAGTTTGTAGGTGTGCAGGACTTAAAGTAAAGTTTTGGGCATCAAAGGTTTAAAAACCGGTCTGGTCTCTCTCAGTCGTACTCAGTTGCAAGAGTGTGAACGGGCCTTCACGCACGGAGAAGAACGGCTGATCGCGGGACGTGAGGGAACACGACTCAATCTTTGACGTCACTGCACTGGCGCGGATCGCGCGGGAACTTCAAATTCGGCTTTTGGAAATTGATTGTTTTTTTTTACTTCACAAATACTGAGTTCCCACGTTTTGAATGTTGAGGATGCTGTCCACGTGTTCGTTTTCAATTCTTTCGGATAATAAGAAGTAATACGATTTTGACCTGTCAGTGCCCCTTTAAGCTAATACACGAGGACGAACAACCAGGCTACGTCCTCGAAAAGTTTGTTCAAATGCAATGTACCTTGATAAACATAATTCGGTTTCCAACAGTCTTGTTTGAAGGTACATCGATGACAACGTTATACTTTTGATGAACGTTAAGCAACGTGGGCGCGCTACGCGGTTCCAAAAATCTACGAAACCGGCAGGGTGTCCCGTGATTATTAAACTCTTGTACAAAGCGTACGACTTACATAAGTGCAACCGTCACCACACCCGCGCTGCCCCACCGGAGGACAAGGAATACAGGGCGTATAGAATTGCTAGCACGACTACACACGCAGACAACCACTGCTTCTAGGGCGCAACTGAAAATTGAAGTTTGAATGATGATCATAGCCGCATTTGCGCGAGCTCCCACAGATTCGCGCGTAAAGCAGCGGAGAGGCAAGCACACACGCAGCACATAGAAACACACGTGAACAATCAGGCTCCTATGCCGGCTACTTGACCAGGAAATATACAAACCCAGAGCAGTACTCCATTGATTCGATTCTACAGACTCGAATGCCTAGCATGGCCCATTGTTCGAGGCCGTCCGGCTGCAGTGTGGAACGCGCACTCCAGATGGGCAATGGATCTTCGCGTCGTAATTCTGTTTACGGAACTCGCGGCGGTGACGCAAATGCAATTTGTAAATGCCTCCCGGGTACTTCCGAACAAACCCTAAGCCCTCGGGCCAAACCCTTCCCAAAGACATAAAAAAAAACAAAAAAAAAAACACAACGAGAGGGCAAGGCATGGGGGGAGGGGTTTGTTCGGAACACATGAGTCACTTCAAATGACTCTTCTGGCAGTGTAGGCCAAGAAGGTTGGCGACTATTTTGTATGCGTGTACGTGCGTTTGGATACGAGGATAGCTCAGACTAAACTTTATGCGCACCTTTTTTGTTTGTTGGGCTATTCGTCGAGGATCAAAACGAATTGCACCCATTCGTGTAAAAATGTATTCGAACCGGACCAGGCTTTTTTTTCTCGTTTTGTTGCGTTTGTTGCTTTTGCAAGATGAATGCGTCCCCATTTGCTTTCGAATTTTTATTAAAATTGGTAGGCCACTACAAGATGTAGACTATCTTTTTCATCTTAACGACAGTGTTTTAAAGTATCTGTTTGCTTTATATTAAAATGATTATTATCCTATTTACCAATTCGCTCACTTTTTATCTGCTCTAATCATGTTTAGAAACCGACATAATGTAGTCTTAAATCCCCAATGCGTATTTGAAAAAAAAGCCACAAGGATAATCCAGACTGGCAAAGCAGACTTTTTACTAAATCACCCATGCACCAAAAAGCGTACACGTGCTGCGCGTGCCGACATGTGCAGCAGCAACTGTTCTAAAGCAAACATCCAGAACAAATTGCACTTGGAAATCGTCACGCGGATTTGCGGGCGTCCAATTTTTGCTTTTTACTCGGAATATTTGATACGAGTAACACGAACGCGAGCATTGGACAGAATCTCCATTACATCATCAGATCTAACCGCAATTTTATTGAAACCTAGTTGTTCCTTCGTTGCGCCTTTTCGCGGGCATTCATTCCCGATTACAGTAATAGTAAAACAAGAAAGATAATTGATAGATGCCCTCAGGTAAAAAAAAAAAAAAAAAGCTAATCATAATCAAACATCTTGTTTGGGAGGGACGTTTCAGTGATACTGTGCTACGAGCGAGTACGTTGTTCTTGCGAGTGTTTTGAGTCGGAATAGAATGACGCTAGTTTCAGTCTGAAATGTAAAAGTAATAATAGGCTGAACTACCGAAGCGAGCAAGATATGATAATAATTTAGATTCATCTGCTGTTCACTCAACCGCCCGCTCAGAGTTGTTGCCTCGAGCTACGCAGTTAATGGCGTTCGTTGTTGGCAATTCAAGACTTTTGGTGTTAGAAGAATTCTCTCCAACTCGGCGGTGAAAATCAAATAAAAAAGAAAGTTGACACGCACACAACAAAAGTGGAGTTGATCGACAGGTGTTTTTTTCTTTTCCTTTTCGTATGAGGTTTTGAGTAACGCATTGGGCACTGCAGACTCGGAACCGGCATCATGCTGAAGTAATTAGTTTTAATTCTGGTAGGCTAGACCAGACGCAATTTTGGGTAATGATATTGGAGTGTGATGTCAACGTGTCTGCGTACTTTGTCTGAAAACGTTTGGATGAGCCAAAACACCGCTGCTTGAGCGGCTATCCTATACACTCTAAAAAAAGTCCGTGAGTCTGCTTTCCCGCACAACACTCGGAGAGCCAATCACCGCAACTTACGGAGGCTGCTCAGCGAATGACAATGCCGAAACATATTTTTAGACCAAAAAACGCAGACGGAGTTGTGACATTAAGCAATGCAAGCGTGACGTTTTGCATTGCTTAATGTCACAACTCAGACTGCGTTTTTCGCTCGAAACATATGTTTCGGCATCGCCATTCGCTGAAGTTACTCCGTAAGTTGCGGTGATTGGCTCTCCGAGTTTTGTGTGCGTGAAAGTAGACGCACAGACGTTTTTTAGAGCGTAGCACCCACTTTGGCTTCTCGCCCATACCTAGTTTTTTTTTCTGTACGGCAAAACAAGCTAGCGTGTTTCTCTGTGTGTGTGTGTGTGTGTGTGTTTTTTTTGCTTTTTATTCTATAGTCATTCTGGGTCAGGTATTGGTCGGATAATATCTGGCATAAGTCCATGACACAACTCAAGTTGAACGTCCCGATTTTTTCAGAAGACCACTGCACTGGGCTCGTTTTCAGCCTGGTTTAATGGTGCTATTGTTTTGCATCTTCATCAAATTAAAAAAAAAGTGTTTCAGGACACTTTTACTTTTGCTATTAGCTTACCCTACTTTCCGGCCACTCGGAACAAGGTTGCTTGTGTTGTTAGCCTACTAATTAACATAAATAATTGAATTAACTTTGTCATTCGATCGTGGCTTTAGGTGGCATGCTGCCTTCACACAGTTGAAGGCCAATCTCCATATTGTATTTTAAGCGGTATTCACACGAGGGAGAAATCCCGGGGATTTCTCCCCGGCACGCGCATCCCACGACGAAAACGTCAGGCTTTGCGATGTGCAAAAGCCTCGCGTTTTCATCTCGTGATGCGCGCGTGCGGGGAGAAATCCCCGGGATTTCTTCCTCGTGTGAATACCCCTTTACGATCGCACGTTGATATAAACGCACACAAAAGATTTTCACTACCGGCTATATTATTTCACTCCTGCAGGTTGTTTTAAACCAAAAAGAAATCGAAAAAAAATAGGTACAGGGGCGACGACACCCCCACCCTCGCTTGGCGTCACAGTTACGACGTCACTATCTCTTTCAGTCCTTTTCTACTTGCGATGGCAACTGTAAACTTTGGCGTTTTGCGGTAGGAGTTAACTGTGCGGCGTTATTTCCTTCTCCGGCGGTAAGCGCAAGGTGACCCTTGACTATCATTTCATTGATAAAATAAAAGTTCATATAAGAAAATACAGAAAGAGAGAGAAATGTAATGCGATAATGACGGCCGGGCTGCCTGCGTCATAGATGACGTATTTACTGTGGCGCCAAGCGAGGGCGGAGATGTCGACGTCACTGACGCTCTTTTTCTCGATTAGTTCGGGGTTTAAATTAACCTGAAGGAGTGAAATAGTTTCTCCATTGGTGCGTTCTTTTTGTGTTTATATCATTGTACGAATATTGGGCTTCAATGTTGTAAATACAACAGGCCCTCTAAAGTTAATTAAAATATTTCTGCTGACTAGTAGGCGGCTAGCATCACAAACAAGCTTGTACCTAAAGGTCGGAAACTCAGGTGAGCTAATAAAAAAATTATGTGTCCTAAAGCAACTAATTGTTTCTTAAAGATTTGGTGCAGATAAAAAAAAAAAAACCACATTGTATATATTTCTCACTTGATGATTCTTTGATTTAAATTTAAAACAATCGCACACACAAAAACACATGAAGCAATAGACAAACTGATAATTAAAGAACATTTTTTGGGGGTTTACTTAGTGGGACAGGTGTTATTGAAATCATCATAGTAAAACCGGTCTGATTTAAATCATGATTTAAAGAATCTTGATTTTTATTCTCCGCCCTGGCCCTAACATGCTCTCTGCCGACTTCCACACCCCCTTAAAACTACCGTTGATAAAGTTCTGCTCTTTCCTCGTCGTCAAATATTTCATACTAAAAGCTATTTGCTACAAATTAACTGAAATGAATCGTATGGCACCGATAACGGGTGATAATGTCCGATTGTGATGCAATCCCCAGCCTGCACCTTTCGCAGAGGTGGCAGCAGGGCATCAATCTAGGTACCCATATCTAGAGTGCAACGGTGCGTTTGCGCCTAAATCTCCAGAGTTTTGTTCCGAAAGGGGACAAAGGGGAGGGAGTACTTGCATTCGCGTAGAATGTTTTGGCTTATTGTTTTAATTTCACCTGAGTAAGACATTTACTTTTTTTTTAATGTAACGGAGAACTCGAGACTAGGAACAAAAACTGAACAACATACTTTGTGTTCCTTGTCTCGAATGCTCAAGATGTTCCTGTTTATTTATTTGTCAAAGTGTAGACAAGATTGGTATCTTAGAAAGAAGAAACCGCACGAATTTTCGACGCAAACCATATGGTAGGCAACCGACAATTCAACTAATAGATTGCAATAATATTTTATTTTTTTGTACCATTTATTACACAAATTTGTACTCTCAGCACCCTTCCACTGTAAGAAATGTAACCCAATCTCTCCGCCTTACAAAGTGTATAACAACACCAAAAATTCCGTCAATGCAGGAACAGCAGAGCCGATGCGGGCTAATTCAACCCCAACGCAATTAGTTCCCAATATTCTAAAATTAAAATCACACGCATACAAAATTCAAGAGAGATGGTGCGCTAAGTTTATTTATAAGGATTTCAGTCGTGCAATTGGGCTGGCCGCTATTCTCACCTTGCTCCCTTTGTGTTTTTTTGTTTTTTGTTATTTTGTGTACTATTCAAATCATCACCAATTTCGTAAAGTCTTTTTCGTTTTTCCAGAATACTTTGAAGGCGAAGTCTGGTTTTGTATGACTAAAACAACCATACTGCGAGTACAAGAAGGTGCGAAGACAAATGAGCACAATGCTTCGTACAGGGAAGAAAAAGAACTCAAGGAAATTTAAAGTGAAAGCAATATTGCGAGCCGGTCAAGTTGCTCTGAGGATTAGATACATTCTTCATCAATAGCGTTTGGAATAGCATTGAAGAAACTTCTTTAATACCATTCTTTGAAAAAAACATTTGGTGTCAACAAAAAAGGCAGAGCACCGCGTATTCTTG